GACCAATCAGTTTCAAGGACAATGCATCATATATTATCATAGTGTGTTTTTGGTTTGCATTTTGACTGCAGGTATTGTGGTTAATGCAGACATGAATCCTCGTAAAAAGGTTTCAGTTTTGTTGCCAGAAAAAAAGGGGGAAAACCCTATTATTACATTAGTTTTCAATTTAGGAACACTTCTGCCGAGGAAAGCCACCGCCTGCCTGCCACAGGCGACGACCAGGTCTCGTCCTTGCTGAACCTGTGACAGCACGCGTCCTATTCCAACGTCGTTGGCATCCGTAAAGGGAAATATGAATTCAGGATATGACAGTTAAGACGTGAACGACAATGTGCAATGATTTTACAATGGACGCAACATCTGTGATGAACTGGCAGTAGTGTAACAACACCGGACACACGCTGTACTCGGAGCGTATTTAATTTGAAACAGCACCAAGACAAGGCCCGGCTTCTTGTTTGTGGTTTGAAGCTCGTACCCTCTCCCGAAACGTCTCCCGTCCTTTCTCTTTGTTGCTCTCCACCTTTTAAAACCCTTTCGAGTCATTTCTCTCGAACATTCTCTTGTCTTTCCTCAGGCCAATCCCCATCCTCCTCACATCTTGACTTAAAGCTTTCGTGACTGCGGGAATTGATATTTCTTTGGGTCTTTCGGTAAAGTCACGTAGATAGGTAAAAAAAGAATGAGATAAATAAAAAGTACGACGTTTCGATCGCTATACAAGCGACCGCCATCAGGTGGAAAAAATACTTCGACGATCGAAACGTCGTAGTTTTTCTGTTGATTTTATTATTTTTTAACTTATCTACGTGACTTTACCGAAAGACCCAACTGAATGTATTCCTCCTCACCTCAATGGTTCTCAACTGTCGCCTCAATGTTCAACCTCCGCTTTCAGCCTTATTAGAGTTTGAACCTCTCCTCCAATTCTTTCAAACTTTGCCCCCCCCACCCCCGACCAATCACCACGTGGGACTCTCTTTGCACCAATAGGAGGCCTTCGTCTACCTCCTGGAAGTCTGTTTGGCAGCACATTTGCTTCAGATGAAGTTGCTCCAGAATTACGGTCGTTACATTAGGAAGAAATAAATCCCAAAAATCTGCAGACCTCGGACACATTCATAGGGGCAGGCAATGTCCGTACTCGCTGCGTTTTTGTGATCCGTGGCTACACCTAATTCAGAGACCACGTGTGCCCCAGATAACACACCGCAGACTGCGATCAACGGCACTTCAGTTTAAAATTTGCCTTCTGCAACCGCAAGAGGATGACGTGCAAGCAACCCCAGTGCTCCTCTAAAGTTTGGCCGAAAATAATGGCATCCAGAATAATTTTTTTTAATTCTCCCACTGAAGGCCGGTGAACACTATTTCCGCCACGTAACGAAAATTGAGAGAAAGCAGCGGTATTGCTTCTGCAAATTATTGTGCAGAGTATGGGAAATTATATTTGCCGATGAGCCCGTGTTGACTAAAACCCTTGCCTTGATGTCCGCGGTCGTCCCCATCAGCACCAATGCCCGATGCGACATCTACCACCTGCCTAGATAATTTGCACCAGTGCCGTCGAGTTGGGTCACTAATCAGGCAGTGATTCCGGTGAGCAGTAGCAAACATGTAGAAGAAAATGTGTGATTCGCCTCGGATGCATACACAGGAGGTGGTGAGGAAGAGGTGAGGATGCAGTGAGACAAACGGTCTAGCCACTTTGGTGACTGGGGTCTGCTCATTCGCCTGCCTGTTGCTGGAAGCTGAAGTTGGGAATCCCAGATGAGGCATGCTCCATCCTTTGCAGCACCCTTGCGTGATGTGGCCCTCCTGTCCACAGCAGTGGCAGAATACAGTCGTGTGAGGAAGACATATCTCGGCGAGACCCCAAAATGTTGCACACCCCCCCCCAGACTGTGTCTTCACCAGCCCCTGGATGGCCAAAACGACATGGTTGAGTGTTGCCTTCGGTGTCTCTTGTCACCATCAGCCATGCCCCCGTGGATGTCGGTGGTTCAGCCGACTCTTTCGTCTGTTCGACCACCCGTGCCATGGTCCATGCTGGGCCCTTAAACTCTTCGTACGCGAGGATGCTCCACGCGACCCACAGAAAAGTTTGCGCAACCCCCTTCCACCACGAGTTAGCACAATCTCACCCAGACAAGCTTGAAAGCTTAAGTGGCGAGCTGCTGAGTCACCAGCATGCCTCCGCATCCAGTTTCGGGAAAGCGCTTCTTCCTCACATTAACAGCCGCGCCTGGGTACACCAACGGCGGTTTCGTTTCCTTGCGTGAACCTCCACCGAAACCAGATACGCCGCTCGGAGGGTGGCCTAATTCTCCTTGGTAATAGCGAAGGTTCCCCAGCGCTTGGGTAGAGCTCGCCATGGCTTCCCCTATCGTCCACTCCCCCGTACGCCGCCTCAAACCAGGAGACTACCCACCGACCCACAGGCTGTGAACTTCTACTGCCAGCCTAGGGGGCGACATGGCTGCCTTGAATCTGGTCTCCTCTGCTCATGCTCAAAGGCGAATGGCTGCCGCGGGACGGGTCATCCCTGCTTCGGCGGCTCTCGGGAGCTGTGGCGGTCTCCGCTGAGCTGTTCGGCAGTCGTGGAGGCGATTTCGCGTCGCTCCGCGCGGGGGGCTGTAGCCCCCCACCGGTGGCTCAGCCTCGCTCCCGGAATTTGATGGCAGTGATTGAACTGCCTTGGGCCTTCGATTGCTGCAAGGAACTCATCGCACGTTTGTTGTTGTTGTTTGCTCCGTCACAGTCTCTGCCACCTGGGCAAGCCTCCCCTCAAGCTGAGGCAACATCTCCGCCGTTGAAACTGTCGGTCGCGAGTGGATCAAAACCCCAGTCGACGGGGTTTCTTGCAGCTGTTGGTCCCTCCTCTATCCCGTGATGCCATTCCACTCGGGATGGCTCCCTGGGGCTCTTGCTTCTGCTGGCGTCTCCCCCCTTTTATTCACGGGCCCCTTCTGGGCATCTCTTCAACGAGTATACCCCACCACTGCCTCCAGTTGTAAACGAAGTCCATACGCCATTTCCTTGAGAGGTACATTATTGTCAACAAATTCCAAAGCACCACGTGCGCACTGTTACATCATGTAGGAGCCGGAGGACATCCCTGTCACACCCCAAGGTGAATGTGGAACGGCTCTGATTAAGAACACACCCGCCTCTCGTCTCACAGTGTGCGTCGAAGGACGTACGCATCAGCAGCGGGGATACAAAGGTAGCTGGGCTTGGTTATAGCCACACCAAGCCCTCATTCGCCATGTCTGCTTTCGCGTGCTTTTCTCACAGCACATACTGCAATAGACTGCTAAGGCTATACAGGGAATCTTTGTCGAAGAGGATGTGTTTTAGAAAGTGATCTGACCTCTTGTTGGTTTGTAAGAGGTGCGTTTGGGGTAGTAATGTGCAAATGTGTGAGGAGCAGTGGCTCAAGGTGAATATCTGAACTGGTCCTGGGCCTCCCCAAGGTCGACTCAGCCTTACACATGATTATCTGGTGCGATTGTGTCTAAAACATCATCACTGTGGATACAGAGATGGCCAGGCAGGTGATAATCTCATGTCACCTCTTAATTTTATTTAACTAGCTGTACTACCCGGCTTCGCCCGGGACTTGGATTCACCACACCCGGTTGCCTTTGTCTCCCCAATGGCGATGTTCACACAGCAGAGCAGTTACTCGTTTGATGCTAAGTCGACCTAGGGGAGGCCCAGGACCAGTAAAAATAATCATCACCGGTGGTGGCCGTGAGCGGGAATCGAACTCGGGTCGCCGGGTTCGTAGCGCGGTGCGCTAACCACTACACTACGCTTCCACATGCGCGGGTCACGTGACAGATTTGACGTCACAGCTCACTTGCCGTGCAAATAATATATACATTATTGAGCTCCCCCCCCCCTAAAAAAAACAAAAGTGTATTTTTATAATTTTTGCATGGTGTACAGTCTGGAAAGTACCCACATGGTGGCAAATTTCAAGTTTGTTGCATGTCGGGAAGTACGCTAAACATTTTGAACAGACACACATAATCACAAATTTGCCTTTTATATATAGAGATTAAAAAAAAAAGTTTATATTTAAAGCTATCGTGACTGCAGGGATTCATATTCTTGGTTCTTTCGGTAAAGTCATGCAGAAGGGAAATAATAAAAATTAAACATAATAAAATAAAATTCTCACGACGTTTCGGCCACAACGCAAGCAGCCGTCCTCAGGTGAAGAAACAGAGCTGTCGGAGAGACAGCGTCCTAATTAGGATGCTGCTTGCGTCGTGATCATTTTTAAATCATTTTATTATTTCCCTTCTACGTGACTTTACCGAAAGAACCAAGTATAATAAAAAAGTACCCAGCCATCAGATGACATTTGTTTGGAATGACCAAACGTGATCATGTTACTTCTCTGCGAAAATCGTATGGCGGAAACTAAGCAGTTATCCTGAGGCAGTGTTTGTTAATGACTTTGGCCAACTGGAGACTCATCTGTTTTTTTACACGCTTTCTTTAAACTCACTGTCTGTTGTTGTCGTTGTTGTTGTATTCTCAAATCTTGTAACTCAATTTTAACCCACTTCCCAATGTGGTATCGACTCCAAACTTGGTATACTTATGTCATACTGATGACAATACTATATTCTATGATAAATATATTTTCAAACATTATTTTTATGCTTCGGCTTGGGTCTAATTGTCCACGGTCAACTGACGTTGGCTGTAATTGACCACGATCCCCCTTACGTTATGGCAAGCTTCGGGGCCACTTTCTGGAGTCGTGGAGTTCTGCCATTACTAGTACAGTACATTTCATAAAAGCGTGTTTAAAAAAAAAAGTTTGTTTAAATATTACTTATCATAATTATATTACCCTCAATGTCCCACAACCCTAGACCAGAGTGATTTTTAGCCACCACTTTCAGATTGCTTCTATATTAATTATGTCGCCCATTTCCAAACATAGGGACAGAAGTTGAAATAATGAATAGCAGAAGTACGCGGAAGAATGAACTCTTTATTGTATTTAAATTACACGTTCGACAGCACAATACAAGCGAAATGTGTTAATAAGAAAATACATTGTGAAGGGAACCATTACCTGTAAATACTCTTAACGAGCCATATTATGCGGGTGACAAGAGAATTAACAAAGGTGTAATAACAAAGAGCAGAGGGGTCGAATGAGTGTCCTCCACAGCATAGATCTGCTGTGCTGCTCCACACTTCCAACAGAGGTCCGATCACAATTCGATGCTCAGCTCAGCTCTGACATCTGCTGCTGTGCTGTCTTCAGCTCTATATTCACACAATAATGAACATATGAAATACGTAACATTTTAATTAGTCCTTGAGTATTGGAATACAATTACTACATAACCACTAAAACAATATATTTAACTTACCTTTTTAAACAATTATTATACAAACTATAAGGTGTTTGATCCATTCATTTGTCTAAGCATTGTGCCTTGCTAACCAGTGCTATATGATCGACTGCTGAAAATGCATTTATTTTTGCAATTTACATGACCCAGATCACTCTTGCAAATTAGACAATCCTGGTGAAAAGAAACGTAAAACTTGTTCAGCCAATTAACTGTACTGACATTTCAGCCAATTAAATGCAACAGGCATTCCACCACGTGTTTGGGTCTTCAGAAGTATTTGATTAGCGACTAGCTGTACTACCCGGCTTCGCCCGGGACTTGGATTCACCACACGCAGCCGCCTTTATCTCCCCAGTGGCGATGTTCACACACCACAGCAGTTACTCGTTTGAGGCTGAGTCGACCTAGGGGAGGCCCAGGACCAGTTGAAATAATCGTCACCGGTGGTGGCCGTGAGCGGGAATCGAACTCGGGTCGCCGGGTTCGTAGCGCGGCGCGCGATCCACTACACTACAATGCGTTACGCTTCCACATGCGCGGGTCACGTGACAGATTTGACGTCACAGCTCACTTGCCGTGCAAAAAATAAATGCATTATTAAGCTCCACCCCCCCAAAACAAAAGTGTATTTTTATAATTTTTGCATGGTGTGCAGTCTGGAAAGTACCCACATGGCAAATTTCAAGTTTGTTGCATGTCGGGAAGTACGCTAAACATTTTGAACAGACACACACATTCACAACTTTGCCTTTTATATATATGGAGATGATACATTACCTGCGAAGCGAACTGCAAAAGATGTACATAATGTGGAATTGTATCCCAGGTTCTGAGATTGCAATGCAACGTTTTTAAAAAAATCACAGCACTGCCCCCCAAATGTGCATACGCGCATACAGACAGAATACACACCTGTGAGAAGGACTCGTAGTTTGCTGTCAGACAGTGTGAAGGCAATGGGATTTATAACTCCAGTGGCCCCATCCTGGATATTGAGCCTAAGCTGTACAGACGGTTCATTAACCTCTGCTAGTTCGCTGGAGCAGAGTGTGTAGTCCACACGCCATGAGACGCCTGCCAGACGGCTCACTACCGAAGCACAGGAAAAGGTTTTGCATTCGTAAGCACAGAGACACTTAAACGTTCTCCTCCCCCCCCCACTCTCTAACCTATATAGCCTCTTGTCACGGCAGTCCTTTTGGCCACTTCAGCAATTGTTTCCTGCAGAGGTTGTCCCACCTGATGACGGACCACTTGTGTTGCGCCCGAAACGTCGTGATTTAATTTATTTTAATTTTATACCCTACGTGACTTTACCGAAAGAACCAAAGAGTACACGTAAACACATTAACTTCGGTGAGTATCGTATTTAACTCTGCTATGCTACCACTGCACTGTGATATACAGCGAAACATCATCTATTTGTACATGTCGATTATACGCAAATCCAACTTTTCAATTGTTTCAGCATTCAACAGTAAAGTTAAGTACATTTTATAGAAATAAAGTATAAAATATATGAGCAGCAAACATCTAATTACCCAATCATGTCAACTATTGAATATAAAAAATATATTACACTACTTTTGTAAAAAAGTAAATCACACAATAAAGTATGTCAGATAAGTTAACTGAGTAAATGAATGGTCAAGGTACACGTAAAAACAGGCATGCTTGGTTTTTAAATATAAAGCATCAAAACTGAACTAAAATAATCATTGTACTAGTATTTGAAAAGGTATCCCCCAAAATGGGAATGAATGGTTGAGGTTTCACTGAAAATCTCTCCCAATAAAATGCATTTAAATTAAGCAAGAGACCAGTGTCAGCTCAACAGCATAGATTTAAACATATTCTGCTAGATAACAGTGGTCTACATGGCCCAAAGGCTGACGAACTAAAAAGCATTGAATTTTAAGTGAAGACATTCGGAAGTGAATTTACATTTTGCATTACCTGCAATGCTCCCCAACACCACGAAATGAGCATTACGATAGTACACATTTACTATTTAAATCAGCCAACATAATTTTCCTAACATCAAGAGAACACACATACAGCAATTTGTGTACCATCGCTCTTTTAATGTCTAAACAATGACAATACACTCACGGCGCAGGCTCTGACTCTTCAGCTGATCCTGGAGCTCCGCTTGCTTATCTTCATACACCTTGCACAGAGCGGACGCGTGTTCTGAAATCAATGGAAAAAGGTACAATTTCTAGATTTGAAGCTTTCGTGACTGCAATGATCCATACTCTTTGGTTCTTTCGGTAAAGTCACGTAGGTAGAAAATAAAAATTAATCAAATCACGACGTTTCGGAGGCAACACAAGCTTCCGTCATCAGGTGTGACTAGCACAGCAAAATTACTGTTGGCCGAGACGGAAGCTTCTTGTGCTGCCTCCGAAACGTCGTGATTTGATTCTTTTTTTTATTTTTACCTATGTGACTTTACTGAAAGAACCAAAGCGTAAGGTACAATTCAGCCATTCAATTGGATATAAAACACGTGAAGTTTTCTTCTATCCACTACCACTAGTCCACCAACTCTATAGGATACTTTATCCACTGCTGGCCAAGACTGCTTTACACCATGCCCATTGCATGCGCTATCCACTGCTGGGCTAGACTACTTCTAGTACACCATGCCCATTGCATGCGCTATTCACTGCTGCCCTAGGCTCCATCTCTATTGGATGCTCTATCTATTGCTGGCCTAGACTACCACTAGTCCACCACGCCTATTGCATGTGCTAGCCACTGTTGGGCTAGACTTCCCCTAGTACACCATATCTCCATTTTTAACACTCTCCGATGCTCACCACTTTTTAAACTCCTCACAACAACCTTCTTCACTCATTCCGCCTACAACCGCTGGGGAAAGAGCTGAGGTGAGGAGCCTCGCTCTATCCACTGCTGGTCTAGGCTCCATCTCTATAGCTTTTGCTTTATCATGGCCTGGACTCCATCTCTATAGGATGCTCTATCCACTGCTGGTCTAGGCTCCATCTCTATAGCTTTTCCTTTATCATGGCCTAGACTCCATCTCTATAGGATGCTCTATCCACTGCTGGTCTAGGCTCCATCTCTATAGCTTTTGCTTCATCATGGCCTAGACTCCATCTCTATAGGATGCTCTATCCACTGCTGGTCTAGACTCCATCTCTATAGCTTTTGCTTTATCATGGCCTAGACTCCATCTCTATAGGATGCTCTATCCACTGCTGGTCTAGACTCCATCTCTATAGCTTTTGCTTTATCATGGCCTAGACTCCATCTCTATAGGATGCTCTATCCACTGCTGGTCTAGACTCCATCTCTATAGCTTTTGCTTTATCACGGCCTAGACTCCATCTCTATAGGATGCTCTATCCACTGCTGACCTAGACTCGTGCCCCGCCCACTCCCTTCTGACACTTGGGCTACGCCCACTTTTAAAACTTTATAAACCGTTGCATTCGAGGCTTACCCCAACTTTTCTCTCCGCCTAATGACGACCGCTTGTGTCGCGATCGAAACGTCGTAGTTTTTCGTTTATTTTATTCGTATTCATTTAAACCTATCTATGTGACTTTACCGAAAGACACGAAGAAAATGAATTCCTGCAGTCATGAAAGCTCTAAGTCAAGACGTGAAGTTACATTTACTCTTTCAAGAAAAAATAACTACATTTGACTGGCAAAGGTATTTGAAAGAATGTGGATCTGGTTCACGTGTTAACACAAATCACTTCACCATCATTTCTTAAGTCAAGACGTGAAGTTACATTTACTCTTTCAAGGAAAAATAACTACATTTGACTGGCAAAGGTATTTGAAAGAATGTGGATCTGGTTCACGTGTTAACACAAATCACTTCACCATCATTTCTTCATGGAAATGTAAAATGTTGTACAATCTGGTAATGTTCTGCAAATTCTGGCCACGATGGGCATGGTGACACCTTGGTCTTGAGCACATGCAGCAAATAAAGGCCTGCGTGGGGAACATGGGTTGTGTTGCTGCTTCCGCTCCCTACCTAGCTACCTACAGTAAACTGGATTTTCTTTTTTAGTTTAGCCTTTTACATTTTTTAAAAATTGTATTAGTGTAGCGTAGCTTACTTGCAAATGGTATTGTTTGTATTATTTGGCTATTTTTTTGTTATTTTGTAATTTTTGGTGTCCCACAGGACTCTGTCCTTGGACCCCTGCTTTTCTATATTTAACAAACGCCTCTCGTATCATTGCTTAAGCACCTAGGACTGATGTATCTTTGACGACACAGAGATACATTTCCACCTTTCCTCCTGATCCACGACAGCCGACTCACAACTCACGACTTCACTATTAACTAAGTCATGGTTCACTACCTACAACTCACCATTACCAAAACAATATTTTACTCATTGGATCCCCAAAACAGCTGCTGTCCTGTGGGGCATGTGACAGTGCACCCATTGGTCAAATGAAATTGGTTAACCCTTGGTGTCTTATTTGACTAATCACTCTCTTTCAATGCACTTGACATATGTTTCTAAGGTGGTCCGGATCACCCTCTTCCACCTTAGAAACAGTGCCCGCTTACATTACATTCTGTCACTTACGGATCTGGAATGGCTAGTGCACGCTCTTGTCTTCTCTCGTAAAAAACTATTGTAATGCTCTGTTACTCGGGGTTCCCGCCAAGGTCTTGGGGTGACTACAGTTGGCCCAAAACGCGACCGCCAGGATTCTCGCGTGAACCTCATCCTGTGAGAACATCCCTAAAATCTCTACATTGGCTTCCAATTAAATTTTGGGTTCAATTTAAACTATTGCCTCGCACCACTTTACATCCAACAACTGATAAACCTGTACATACCATCACGACCTCTACAATCCGTCAAAATACATCTGCTGAATGTGCCGAGAACTCGGCTGCATCTGGGGTAATCGAGGCTTTGCATGTGCTGCGCCAAGACTATGGAACTTCCTGCCATGTGTGGTGTTTAGGTCTTCTCTAAAGATTCACCTGTTTCACGTGGCCTACACTTCCTATGTATGACCAGTGGACTCCAGAACTTGCAGTGTTTATATTTCCAAACTTCTTGCATGGCGCACTGAGTTTTCCGGATGAATTGCGCTTATAAGCGTAAATTATTATTTAAAATGTTGACCTAAATGTCAAATAAAACACTATTCAATGAGAAAAAATGTTGATGGAAATTAGCTGGAATGTTGGTGTCTAGTAGGGATTTAATTTCTCAGTAGGCCTTACATAACTAGGTAAGGCCTACTGAGCTATATAGCTTTTTTTCAGAAGCGACCTGGCCACAAATGATAGCTCCATCATGTGGAAGTTTATATCAGCTAAACACTATAAATGCATGTTTATAAATGTGGAGGGAAAAATTGGAGGACCCGGGGAAAAATCCACGCGACCGTGGGGAGAACATGCTAACTTAAAATATACAAGCGTCAAGAGTCCCGATGAAACCCACGATCATCTGTATACCAGGTGAGGTCGTTAACATCTCACCACTGTGGCCATTACAGAAGCAGTCCTGAGGACGGAATGTGCACCAGAAGACATGGAAGCATAACCAAAGCTTGCGATGTAGAGAAAGAGAATGAACGAGTCATGAGGAATGAATACGGTGTAAGATTTGCGAGAGAAGACTCCTCTTTACGTTGAACATTATGGTTATAATGTAATAAGGGTTGAAATTTGGGAAATATTAAGCAAAAGAGGGTAGGGATATGTGGCATGAAACAGGAGGAACATGATCCAAATCCATCATGTCATTCTTGAGTCTGTCAACATTTCTGAATAGAAGGCAACGTCTTCAGGCAAGGTTATTTATGGGCATACAGGAGGAAGTTTAAAATCATGTTGAAGGATATTGGGTTATCAGCAAACTAGCTATAAAATAAAGCGACGACAAGTCACTTCCCCATCGTATTGAACAAGTTACACAAAGAACCATAAAAGAGAGATGTACCTTTGGGCAGACCGAGCTGCTGGAGCTCACTGGAGAGAGAATTTCCATCCACGTTGTACTTAGCCGCACTGCACAGTACAAACTCGAGCACAGCCAGACTCGCCTTCACATCTCCACTTTCTGCACAAAGACATGGAATCAAAACACAAAAAGTTAATCTGCAATATTAACCTAGATTTGAAGTTTTCCTGACTGCAGGGATCCATATACTCTTTGGTTCTTTCGGTAAAGTCACGTAGGTAGAAAATAAATCAAATCACGACGTTTCGGGCACACAACACAAGCGGTCTGTCATCAGGTGGGACAACCACAGCAAGAAACAATTTTGCCCACTTCAGCAATTGTTTCTTGCTGTGGTTGTCCCACCTGATGACGGACCGCTTGTGTTGTTGCGCCCGAAACGTCGTGATTTAATTTATTTTATTTTCTACCAACGTGACTTAACATGACAAAACATGTTTTTTTATTTAAATTTTACCAGGTAAAGCCCACTGAGCTATATAGCTCTTTTTCAGAAGTGACCTTGCCACAAATGACAGCTCAACGAAGAGGCTTATCGTCATGTGGAAATTTATAGCAGCCAAAAACTCAAAGCGCACGTTTTTTTTTAATGTGGGGGGGGAAAAACCGGAGGACTCGGAGAAAAATCCACACACCAGGGTGGAGGGGGGGGGGACACACAAACTCCAAATAAACAGCAGGCGTCAGGGTTGGGATCGAACCCACGACCTCGTGTATACCAGGCGAGGTCGTGAACATCTAGCCATCATGGCGAGCTATAAAGTTAAACTCAACAAAGGTTAAAGAACACATCTATGTGTGACTTCATGTGAGTTTTGCCTCCTGATTAACGCTTTCTATCTGTCTGCAGTAGGTGCTCGCAATAACTCATAAATATAACCCAACAGGAAAATGTTAAGGATTAATTTGTGTTGCTATGAGGGAATTAACCAATAGAAAACAGGGGCACATTGTTCAAGATTTTCCCGAAACTCGGCTTTAAAAAAAAATTCGGGCGTTTGATATAAATTGTCTTATTCCACGGTGCAGACGTTATATACCACGTGTCTCCTTATAATGTAATTATAAGCGATACTCATAATAGGGGTTTTCCCCTTTTTTCTGGCAACAAAACTGAAACCTTTTTACAAGGATTCATGTCTGCATTAACCACAATACCTGCAGTCAAAATGCAAACAAAAAACATACTATGATAATATATGCATTGTCCTTGAAACTGATTGGTCCACACCAAGGGACGGCTTTCTTTTGAGCCTCGACCCAATTGGTGCTCGACTAGATGATGCCAAAAGGCGCACTCCTTTAAGCATCAATGCTGAATCAGATGCCAAGCACCTGAGTTACAGTTTTTCCAAAGAGCCTTACAGTGTAAAGTAGAGAGCTTTGAGTAATAGTCAAAATTATTAAAAAAACCTGGTGACGCAATGGCAGAAAGAGAACAGAACACATCTGAGTGGGTGACCACTAAGGAGGGGCAATAAGATCAGTTCATGTACACAAATAAGTGTGCATGAACTGATTGTGGCATCGCAGGAATGTGAACGGGGCAATAGAGAAGCATTCAACAAACAGTGGGTAGACAATGGATGGTGATGATTGAAAGCGATGACTTAAACTTACCAAATTTTGCGTCTTCTGTAAGCTTCGTGACTTTCTGGTACTGCAATAATGACAGAAGATTCACCATATGGTAATACTACAGGAATGATACATTGACGTGAACCAGTGAAACATCCACCGCTATGCTGCTATGATTGTATAAACGTTGACCCCTACAGTGGATGAAGTAGAAACAATGCAGATGGATTTCAGGAACGGTAACAGGGCTTTATATCCCTTTAAAACCCATCTTCAACATGAGTAAACCATACTCTTTGATTCTTTCGGTAAAGTCACGTAGATGAAAAATAATGAAAATAATAAAATGAAAATATTATTATTATAAGTCACGTAGATGAAAAATAAAAAAATAAAAATTCATTTAATTATTTTCATTATTATTATTTGTATTTTTCATCTACGTGACTTTACCGAAAGAACCAAAGAGTATGGATCCTTGCAGTCACGGAAACTTCAAATCTAGAATGAGTAAACCAAATGTGAGTTTAGTCCAAAGTCCCCTTCAACTCCCAAACTTGGTACAATGTATCTGAACACCTAATGCGGCTCTTGTTATCAAAATGTTTACTCGTACTAGTATCTTGGCATCCGACACGATTACTCTTTGGGATTTCTGAATGCATGTTCCAACGCTCACAAAAACATTACAGTAAAACCTTGGATTGCGAGTAACTTGGCCTGCGAGTACTTTGCAAGACAAGCAAAAATGTTAAATATTAATTTAATAAACGAGCGAGGGTCTTGCAATACGAGTTGTACGTATATGCTTTGTCTGCCGAGTGTCACGTGATCACAACTGATATACGAGTGCTTTGGATTACAAACACGTTTCCGGAACGAATTATGCTCGCAATCCAAGGTTTTACTGTATATATAATTTTCTTCTTTAGTTATAAACCAAGCCTCTTAACCACTGGTCATGAGCTCATCGAAAGGACCTTCATGCCTGTAACTGATTCTGGCGATGCGATCTGGATATCTGCTCACAATAACTGTTCTGAACATCCGAGCTCATGTTTTCCACTCTGCCTTAGGATTCATTCTAAACAAGTCAATTAATAATTGGGACTGTTACTACAAGTTACTTTATATTCTACCATCCCGCTGCAGAGACCTTAACAATCAATATCGATTGTCCATTCAGTTCATATGGTTTACGTATTCGAGATTCACAACTTATGATGATTTGCGACTTTTTATCATCACCGAATAGGTAATTAGGTGTGCATAATATTCATGCCTAACAACATTTCTGCTGCGGTATGGAGCTTCTTGTTGAACCCACATATTCTGCTCCAGTCATCCTCTTATATTTGGGTAATTTTAAATAATTATAAAAGGATGAGTTCGAAGTGGGAGTGGGGGCACGCTGGTTAGCTCACTTGCTATCAACCCAGCGACCCGAGTTTAATTCCCAGAAATGCTGAATGTCAGTGGCAAGTTACGTCTGAACCAGCATGGAAAAATATGGAAACGCAACATGGATTAACAAAGACCTACGAAATTATAATTTAAATTCCATTCACCTTAAAATAAAAAAATGAAGGGCCTGTACTGGCAGTGGCATACAAGTGTAGTGTAGCAGCGCCAACTGGCGGCCACAAGTGGCAACTTTGGGTGTACCAACCAAGGCCGTAGCCATGGAGTCAACATTGGAGGGGACCAAATCTTCCAGGGAGTGTGGGGGTCCCCCTCCCACCCCCAGAAAAAAAAATCAACATTTGAAAACGAATTTCCTGCCTAGAATATTTAAAAAAATCACTAACACATAGGATGGACTTTTTATTATTTTTTTACAATCATGTCTAATTGCTCTGTTTTTTTTACCTTTTCTTGTTTCATTGTATGTAATGGCAGATATTAGGGATTAATAAAGTACAACCATAACCACAATCATATAAACAGAAATCTATTTTATAGCAATATATTGAGGGGAACATTTTCAGCATATATATTATAATTACGGCCTTGGTACCAACAGTCTGCGCATAAGGAGCAGACAGTATACACGGGAACGTCGGCAGAGGGGAGGAACTGGGGCAAGGGTCATTGAAGGGAATCCATCTGGGAGCTCCGAGAACCCGTGAGAGAGTTCCAGAAAGGGGGCGTGGCGGGGGCGTGGCCAGGGCGGAGCCAGGCCAAGCTGGAAGGATAAAAGGGGGGTGAGAGTCGGGGCTCAGGGCTGTCCGTGGGAATCGGGGTCGTCTCGTTGTTGAAGTCGTCTTCGTCGTCGCTGTCGTCCTCGTCATCGCTAGACGTCGCCGCTGCTGGATAGTCAGCCAGCTATCCAGGCAGTTGGCGCTGTCATGCTAGCCGGTCAGTGTTGCGTTATGTGCTAGTGAGTCGAAATAATGTGAAGTACGAGTAAATAAATAAATAAAGGTGGCTCGACAGTTATTGTCTCCGGAGTCCTACATTACCCAAGCACAAATAAAATATAAAAAAACCTCACCTTGCTCATCATCAACACTCCATTGTAACAACATGGGAGACTAATATTTCAGGCAATGGTCTTCCTTCAGAGTCAGAACATTACCTCAGCACATCCCTTCCGGACGGACACTGTAGACCAGACATGGGCAAAGTACGGCCCGTTGGGCTTTTTAATCCGGCCCGCTGAACTTGTCCAAATATTATTATTAAATTAAATTTTACCTCTCTCCTGTAATGCCCCCATTTCACCATTAGATGGCGCACTTTGACCGGGAGTTGCGACATGTTTTTGTATTGTTCATGTTCGTGCAATTTGTTAAATTGCCTTGTAAATAAATGCTTTGCTACCTGTTAAAGGCCAAATCATTTCATGTAATGATTTTTAACACGTCATTTACATTAGTTCACACAAACACTCCATCCATCTGTTCCTGGCCCGGCCCCTCTGTCAAATTTTAGAACCCATTGTGGCCCGCGAGTCAAAAAATTTGCCCACCCCTGCTGTAGACCCAAGCTAGCGAAATAACGGTGAAGTTCGTCCCGCTCAACGTGACGTCACTCCTGCAGCCAATGGACCGGGGGGGTGATGGCGCTGATGAAAGCCCAGGAGAACCTTCTTTGTGATGCTACACGGCATTGAGGATGGTGATCTCCAAACACGCTCGTGAGATTTTGGAAGGGTCTCTACATTAATGTGCTTTTAGAGGTCGCTTAGGCCTGGAGACCGGTGAGGAACGATGACGCCCTCATTTCAGAAAACTGCTCGAGTGTCCTGCACGCGACATTCCTTGCAGCGATGACACCAACCTGGACTTTGTAGGCCCCGCCTGGCAGGGTCTACTGCATCTTTGAAAGAGGTGGCCAGCTTCTTTGAAGCATGCTACACTGTGTTTTTACAAGCACCAAAATCTTCAAAGAAACTGCCATGCTTTATAATAAAAGAGAGAGAGGCATGTTTGAAGTGCTTCAAACGCGTCTGTGCGTGTGACTGAGATAGAGAGACGGAGATACAGAGAGACAAATGAAGATGCATAGAAACAAACGATGCAGAGAAATGGAGATACTGAGAGAAAAAGGGCGATAGTAAAACGACAGAGATACTGAGAGACAAACGGAGATACAGAGAGACAAATGGATACACCCACAGAGATACTGAGAGGTGGCAAAGGGTAGAACGCAATAGAGAAATGTGAATGCGGCGTCAATCGTGAGACATGGCTCAACGGCGCTAACCTGACCTGGTTGGCCTGTTCCTGAGCCGGGATTAAGATTTGGCTTCGTTTTCAGTTACAGTTCACAAAACGAAACATATACAGTGGTTATTTTCCAGATAATGGTTTTAGTTTTCTATTCGGTTTGAACCGCAAACCTCTGTTGAAGAAAATGATTGTCCACCATTCTAAGTGACCTTTGTCATGGGAGGAGACGGGTGCCTGGTTGGAGTATGGATCTGATGTAAATAGACATTATACAATCTAAATATTATTTACATAGCGCCTTCAATCGAGGCGATTGACATAACGTACAAAACGGAGACAGAATAGAATGATTTAGATGGAAGGAGCGTACAAGGTTTGAAGGGGTGGCAAGGACAGAGGACCAACAGCGAGATTGGGCACAGGAATAAGGAAGGGGGAAAGAGAGACACGGAGAAGATTTGGGAACGAAGAGGACTGGAAGGGATATGCAAGGCTATGAGATAGGCAAGATAATGTGGGGCAAAGGCATTGAAGAGATTTAAAGACTCGCGTCAGGTAATTGAAAAGACAGCGGTATAAGCCAGTGCAGAAGCAAAGTAAGAAAGGAGAGGCTAAAAATAACTCGTGCAGAAACATTTTGAACGTGCTAGAGGTGACGGCAGAGGCACGGAATTAATCAGGAGTTTGGCAGCAGAAATTGACATGAGAGCGTGGATTATCCTCATGTTAAAAAAAATTATATTTATCAGGCAAGGCCTGCTGAGCAATTAGCTCCTCTTCAGGAGCGACCTGGCCACATGTGAAAGCTCATGAAGTGGCTTATTACGTGAAAAATTACAGCAGCCAAATACCCTAAACACACGTTTATAAATGTTGAGGGGAAACCCGGAGGATCCGGAGAAAATATCCACAAGACCACGATAACATGCAAACTACAAATATACAGGCGTCAGGGTCGGGATCAAACCCATGGCTTCCTGCATACCGGGCTCAGGAGTTAATGTCTCACCACCATGGCAAGATATATTGATAAAAGCGGCAAATGCGAGTAGTCGCGGTGATGTGGGTGGAAAGAGTGAGCGAAGAGTCAAATGTGACACCAATGTTGAGGGCAGAAGACACGGGAGTGAGAGAGGGAAATAGATGGTTGAGACGGGAAGAAAACGAGATGGCCATTAAGAAAATTATTCATGTTTTGGAAAGATTGACAGAGAGTCAAGCACCATCCAAGATTGGATGGCAGCCGGACACGAGGAGATACGAGATGAAAAGTGAGGGGTATATGAAGGGAAGGAGAAGAAGATTTGGGTATCATCAGCAGGCAAATGATGAGGCCAAATATATAGAGAGAACAGTAAGGGACCCAGAACTGAACCCTGCGGAACACTGACACGAAGAAGGGAGGGTGAGCATATGGAGCGACTGAAGGAGATGGACAATGTGCGAGAAGGTAAGACTTGAGCCAGGAGAGGTCAGAGAGAGTGGAAATAAGAGTGGGGTGATCAATAGTGTCAAAGGTGGCAGAGAGGTCGAGAAGAATGAGAATTGTAGGCCGGCATGGAAGGAATTTGCAGGATGGTTCTGGACATTGAGAAGGGCCGTTTCGGTGGAATGAAGAGGGAGAAAACTGGATTAGAATTGCGGATAGAGGGAATTCGAATGTGGAGCAAACCAGTGAAGAACATGGCGTTCCAGAATATTAGTAAAGTACGGTGATAATTATTGCCAGGAATGGTGGGGTCAACGGAAGGTTTTTGACAGCGAGCTGTCACACAGTTACAATGGCTGTACTTTCTGACACCACATGCTCTTACTCTTTGGTTCTGTTGGTAAAGTCACATAGAAAGAAAAAGAAAATAAATAATAGCATACAACGTTTCGATTGCAACACAAGCAATCATCATCAGGTACGAATTAATGAGAAAACAAACCTAGTAAACTTAGAAATATAATGCAATACAACACAGAGAGTCGGCTAACACAACAGTCAACACCCTACCTGGTTGATTACGTTCTTCGTAATCTCTCTTTTTTTAACGTTAGCACCATGGAGAGCGATTTGGCAGTTATTCAGATGGACGAGTCCATCTATGTTCGGAAAAGAGGAGGGGGGAGACTAAAATAATGGATGCGGTCTGAAAGCCACCGTAAGCGTGAACAATCAATTAAGACCCGAAATCGCTCTCCGTGGTGCTAACGTTAAAAAAAACGCCACTTTTTCAAAATTTTCTTGCTGTGGTTTTCACACCTGATGATGATTGCTTGTGTTGCAGTCGAAACGTCGTGAGAATTTTATATTTTTATTATTTTATTGTTTCCCTTCTACGTGACTTTACCGAAAGTACCAAGAATATGATTCCCTGCAGTCACGAAAGCTTTAAATCAAAATGTATTTATTTATTTAGGTCGTGGTTTGTGAGAGCTGGGATAACTGCTTTGTCATCATCTACAAAGGCCATTGGATTTTGAAATGCATTTTTATTTTCCACAATCTCACATACAACAATCAAATGTTTATCTTGCCCTATGCAGCTTGGTCGACTCAGACCTATAGTTAATGTACAGAATAAAATAAAAATGTGTAAATTGCAATATTCCAAAATGTCTTCTTTAACGAAGATCTCTAATTTGCAATATGAACAACGGTGCTCAAACCACATCATCTGTGTGCGTAGTCCAATCAATTATATTACAAACAAAAAAAGCCCAATTAAAACAATCGATTAACAAATCCAATTCGTGTCATGCGGTAGCATTACAACAAGGTTCCACCAAGATTTGTCACACGATACTGGCCTCAAGCTACTGACTTCCGCTGGGTATGAACCCGTGCGGCAAACCTCGGAATATGCCCCGTCAAGTGACACAGGTGAACCTGTGCCTCCATGTTTGAGGATCTTTCTCAGTCGTAGTCTTTTCGCACCAGATATTAGGGAGAAGGGAAAACGTCCCTTAAATTTGCACGTAAATTTGCCAGCTGTGCTCCAACAGCTTATCCCGCCAAACGCGACCAATTATTATTGAAAGGGGACACTTCATCAACAAATCACGTATACAATAATTCCACTGCATCACGCAAAATAAAGCCCAAGTTACATTTTTAAAACAGTCTGCCTCAGCAGCAGGACTGTGCTTTCCCACCTGATGATAGACGCTTGTGTAGCGCCGAAACGTCGTGATTTAATTTATTTTATACCTACTACGTGACTTTACCAAAAGAACCAAAGATTATGGTAGTTTGTGTCGCTTTAAATTGGTATTGCTGTCAGATGTTGATGGCTTACATTAATTGGCTCTCCAAGAAGGTCTTTAATCATCTGAACACAGAGAAGCTTCATCTTCACAGACGTCTGTAAGAGAGGTAGCCATACACCACTTTAAAACAAGTCTTCATTATTATCTACAAAAAGCAAATTCACGGGTCAAGCAAAATATTGCCTTGATGTGTCTTTGCACAAAGGTATGTAGAAAGCTAAGGACGTCAGTGAGCCACTATAAACAGATCCGATAGGTTCATTCTCATTGTCACACTTTTACTGATGTTTAGAATTTTAAGCATTACCGGTAGCTGATGCTTTTTCATTCATAGAGATGTAAAACATTTAACGATAACACTAAACAATATTAATTATAATTCTCATTATTAGCGTTCAGCATTGAGATTTTCATATGCACGTCTTTGTTTATGTAAATATTTTACAGAAGCCGGGTGGTTGAGAGCCTATGTTTGAATTCATCGAGCAATCCGTAATTACACTAGATGCTTCAAAATAACGTACTGCACATTGGTAATTTCAGTCCAGTCTTGCATGAATGCAAATTAAATCATAGTAAGTGTTTTTTTCATTTAATTCGGCATATTCAGGATTGAGAAAAAAACATTCGATTTGTATGCATATTTGATGAACGCTCTTTCAAAACTGTGTACATGCACACCACCTAGTATAGTAAAGAAGCCAACCGAGGTGACTTCAGTATCAGTTCTATGACATCTACCGGGCGTGATTCCAACCACGAGATGATGCACTGGCAATTATGAGGTCAAAATAAAAACGTGTCTTACGGCATAAAATGGCACAATTGTAATACAATTGGTTAATAGGGCACCGCACATTATTGGATTTTTCAATGCTGGAAATCCAAAAAGTGTTTTTTTGTTGTTAATATTTTTGTTTACATATTGTACAACCAAGTTGTCTGTTAGGTGAAAGGCTGCCATGCAATTGCCATCCTTCATTGTCCTTTCACACTACAATCCACATCCCGAATTGCAGATTAACAGTCTGATAAAGGCTATATGGTGATCTTAGTCTTTCTACTCGCAAGTAGGGGGTTTTTCCTACCTTCCATCACCTTAATATCGCACTCCATGGGTTGAAAATTACTTGGTGCTCTGATTAAGGGGATTGTCGATGCTTAAAAGCTTATCATGAGACTTGCACTATGGTAAAACGTACAGACACTTACGAGAAGCAGCATAGCCAAAGACAAAGAGCATAGGCAACCATTGTCAAAAATGTCCATATTTGCATCACAACCAATAACTACTATTTATGGTGCGTGCTCGGAAATACATTCTGCCAAAACATGCATTTAGCTGGGTATTTGTTTAAAATGAAAAACACACGTGCAATTAATATATCTGTTTTAAGACAGACTTTCACAGCCAAATTTAATCATTCATAATAGAATTATCGATTAAACAGGCAAATACATGAAACTGTCACGTGTAAGAGCGTTTAACAAGCCAATTATTTTTTCGATTTAAAGCTTCCGCGACTGCAGGGATTCATGTTCTTGGTTCTTTCGGTAAAGTCACGTAGAAGGGAAAAAATAAAATAATACAATAAAATTCTCACGACGTTTCGATTGCAACACAGGCAATCATCATCAGGTATTTTACCGAAAGAACCAAGACTAAGAAGCCAATTATTGTTTCAGCTCTCGATTTGTAGAACAATCCTCACAAACAAATTTTGTGAGGCTAAATTTGCCAACTGATCTGCAAGAAGACTGCGGGTAATAGGAGTCTTTAAAGCAAAGGCGGAGGAAGTCCTGGTTCACGCAAATGGTCACATGATACAGCGAGGGAAAAAAAGTATTTGATCCCCTGCTGATTTTGTACATTTGCCCACTCACAAAGAAATGATCAGTCTATAATTTTAATGGTAGGTTTATTTGAACAGTGAGAGACAAAATAACAACAAGAAAATCCAGAAAAACGCATGTCAAAAATGTTATAAATTGATTTGAATTTTAATGAGGGAAATAAGTATTTGACCCCTCTGCAAAACATGACTTAGTACTTGGTGGCAAAACCCTTGTTGGCAATCACAGAGATCAGACGTTTCTTGTAGTTGGCCACCAGGTTTGCACACATCTCAGGAGGGATTTTGTCCCACTCCTCTTTGCAGATCTTCTCCAAGTCATTAAGGTTTCGAGGCTGACGTTTGGCAACTCGAACCTTCAGCTCCTTCCACAGATTTTCTATGGGACTGGCTAGGCCACTCCAGGACCTTAATGTGCTTCTTCTGAGCCACTCCTTTGTTGCCTTGGCCGTTTGTTTTGGGTCATTGTCATGCTGGAATACCCATCCACGACCCATTTTCAATGCCCTGGCTGAGGGAAGGAGGTTCTCACCCAAGATTTGACGGTGATTGGCCCCGTCCATCGTCCCTTTGATGCGGTGAAGTTGTCCTGTCCCCTTAGCAGAAAAACACCCCCAAAGCATAATGTTTCCACCTCCATGTTTGACGGTGGGGATGGTGTTCTTGCGGTCATAGGCAGCATTCCTCCTCCTCCAAACACGGCGAGTTGAGTTGATGCCAAAGAGCTCCATTTTGGTCTCATCTGACTACAACACTTTCACCCAGTTGTCCTCTGAATTATTCAGATGTTCATTGGCAAACTTCAGACAGGCATGTGTATGTGCTTTCTTGAGCAGGGGGACCTTGCGGGCGCTGCAGGATTTCAGTCCTTCACGGCATAGTGTGTTACCAATTGTTTTCTTGGTGACTATGGTCCCAGCTGCCTTGAAATCATTGACAAGATCCTCCCGTGTAGTTCTGGGCTGATTCCTCACCGTTCTCATGATCATTGCAACTCCACGAGGTGAGATCTTGCATGGAGCCCCAGGCCGAGGGAGATTGACAGTTCTTTTGTGTTTCTCCCATTTGCGAATAATCGCACCAACTGTTCTCACCTTCTCACCAAGCTGTTTGGCAATGGTCTTGTAGCCCATTCCAGCCTTGTGTAGGTCTACAATCTTGTCCCTGACATCCTTGGAGAGCTCTTTGGTCTTGGCCATGGTGGAGAGTTTGGAATCTGATTGAATGATTGCTTCTGTTGACAGGTGTCTTTTATACAGGTAACGAGCTGAGATTAGGAGCACACTCTTAAAGGGAGTGCTCCTAATCTCAGCTCGTTACCTGTATAAAAGACACCTGGGAGCCAGAAATCTTTCTGATTGAGAGGGGGTCAAATACTTATTTCCCTCATTAAAATGCAAATCAATTTATAACATTTTTGACATTCGTTTTTCTGGATTTTCTTGTTGTTATTCTGTCTCTCACTGTTCAAATAAACCTACCATTAAAATTATAGACTGATCATTTCTTTGTCAGTGGGCAAACGTACAAAATCAGCAGGGGATCAAATACTTTTTTCCCTCACTGTACATGCATCTCTTTCTAAATTCAGCATAAGATTCCATAAGCATATATACGTAGTAAACATATTTAGTTTAGCTGTCATCAATTATATTATTAAAAAATCACCTGTTCGGCTGCAATTGCAGGTTTGTGTATCATTATCTAAGCAGGTTAACTTATACAAATCCAATCGTGCCGTGGAAAATTTACCAACTTTGTGAGCGTGCTGATCTCTGCGAGAACCCAGTCCGGGCAATCCCGATCTCCAGTAAACCGAAACCTCTGTACACAAACACATCAAATAACAACATTGTGATGAACCGAGTTACTGTGACATAATCTGTGGAAATTTGAATGATTAAGTTATAAAACTACACGCAATGAATCATAGTTGAATATGTAATACAATTCTAACGTACATGATAGCATGGTAAATGTGTGTATATTCATAATCTTGGTTCTTTCGGTAAAGTCACGTAGTAGGGAAATGATGAAAATAAAACAATATAATAAAATTATATTTAATATAATAAAATTATATTGTTTTATTTTTATTATGAATCCATACAGTCACGAAAGCTTTAAATCGAAATGTGTATATATTCACTTACACAAAATTCGCCAAAACTCAAAAGAATAAACAACTCACAAGCACTAACATCTTAGGACTTTAAACACCTCATATCATCTCTCTATTATATTACACGCTTTTTATTAACTCACTCTGTCTGTTGTTGTATCCTCAAATCGTGTAACTAAATTTTTACCCACTTCCCAATGTGGTATCGACTGCAAACTTAGTATGCGTATGTCATACTGATGACAATACTATATTCTATCATAAAGAAATATATACATTTAAACATTATTTTTGAAATGTTATGTTTCGGCTTAGGTCTAATTGTCCACGCTCAACTGACGTTGGCTGTAATTGACCATGGTCCCCCTTACGTTATGGGCAAAGCTTCGGGGCCACTTCCTGGAGTCGTGGAGTTCTTCCACTACTAGTAGGGTACATTTAATAAAAGCGTGTTTAAAAAAAAATATTACTTTTTACTTTGGGTGGTACCAATTTCCGCTGTGGCCCGTGGGCCCCGAGTGGCAGCGGCTGTGGGGACCCCCACGTGGGGAAGCGGACCCAGCTGCATGCCACCGGGGTGGCGACGGAGGAACCCGGAGCAGTCTGAAGCAAGCGGGCGGCACGCGGAGCTCACCATTGTGGCCGAGTTAGGAAGAGCACGGGCGGCCGCGGGCTGTCTCCCTGTGTCGTCTCTCGGTCTCCCTCTGTGTCTCTCGGTCTCCCTGTGTCTCTCGGTCTCCTTGTGTCTCCCTGTGTCTCTCTGTCTCCCTGTGTCTCTCGGTCTCCCTGTGTGTCTCTCGGTCTCCTTGTGTCTCCCTGTGTCTCTCTGTCTCCCTGTGTCTCTCGGTCTCCCTGTGTGTCTCTCGGTCTCCCTGTGTGTCTCTCTGTGTCTCACGGTCTCCCTGTGTCTCTCGGTCTCCCTCTGTGTGTCTCTCGGTCTCCTTGTGTCTCCCTGTGTCTGTCTCCCTGTGTCGTCTCTCGGTCTCCTTGTGTCTCTCGGTCTCCCTGTGTCTGTCTGTCTCCCTGTGTCTCACGGTCTCCCTGTGTCTCCCTGTGTCTCTGGGTCTCCCTGTGTCTCTGGGTCTCCCTGTGTCTCTCTGTCTCCCTGTGTCTCTCTGTCTCCCTGTGTCTCTCTGTCTCCCTGTCTCTGTGTCTCCCGGTCTCCCTCTGTGTCTCACGGTCTCCCTTTGTGTCTCTGGGTCTCCCTGTGTCTCTCGGTCTCCCTGTGTCTCTCTGTCTCCCTGTGTCTCTCTGTCTCCGGGTCTCCCTGTGTCTCACGTTCTCCCTGTCTCTGGGTCTCCCTGTATCTCCCTGTATCTCCCTGTCTCCCTGTGTCTCGCTGTCTCCCTGTTTCTGTATCTCCCTGTGTCTCTCGGTCTCCCTGTCTCCCTGTGTCTCCTTGTATCTCCCTGTGTCTCTGTATCTCCCTGTGTCTCCCTGTGTCTCCCTGTATCTGTGTCTCCCTGTATCTCCCTGTGTCTGTGTCTCCCTGTGTCTCTGTGTTTCCCTGTGTCTCCCTGTCTCCCTGTGTCTCTGTCTCCCTGTCTCTGGGTCTCCCTGTGTCTCTGTCTCCCTGTGTCTCCCTGTATCTCCCTGTGTCTTTCTGTGTCTCTGTATCTCCGTGTCTCTCGGTCTCCCTGTGTCTCTCGGTCTCCCTGTGTCTCCCTGTATCTCCCTGTGTCTCTGTGTCTCCCTGTGTCTCGGTGAGGGGATCACGTGACTCGCTCACGTGACGCGATGGACGGTGGCTGCGCGGCTCCAGTTGCGGGTTGGGGTGGTGCGACCGCGATTTTTATTGACGCGGAGGCCCTGGCCGTCAGTGCCTCTCCGTCTCACCGTTTCCATAATTTCCTTTTTAAAAAAAATAGTTGAATTAGCAAGACAAAGACTTCACGTGCAACCTTCAACATGGCCTGCAATGTATAAAGCTACACGGGGAGGCATTTTTTTTGTTTGTTTAGCCTATTCAGATCAAAAACGCGAATTGAATGGGTTTAAATAGGTTTTCGCAAACGGTCGACCGGAACCGAACCCCTTGAAATCAATTGTGAACGATACTCGGTTAAAGCGGGTTTCGTACGCAAAACAAAAAAAAACCAGTTTAGCTGGCAGGCACCCCGCGTGAAGACGTGATCTAACGTGGTGCTGACGGGGCAGGCCACTTCAAGGCAGGGCCTCGCAGTGACCCGGCTGACTGCCGGCTCAGTGATGGCACGGGCTCACTGAGCTGACTTTGCTGGCACAGCGATGGCACGGGCTCACCATAACGTTTCTGGCTCAGTAATGGCACGGGCTCACCCAAACTTTACTGGCACAGTGATGGCACGGGCTCACTGATTGAGCTGACTTTGCTGGCTCAGCGATAGCACGGACTCACCATAACGTTTCTGGCTCAGTAATGGCACGGGCTCACCCAAACTTTACTGGCACAGTGATGGCACGGGCTCACTGATTGAGCTGACTTTGCTGGTATCAATGATAGCACGGGCTTACCCTAACTTTACTGGCTTAGTGATGGCACGGGGCTCACACTGACTAAACTGACTTTACTGGCTCAGTGATGGCACGGGCTCACAGTGACTCAACTGACTTTTCGGGCTCAGTGATGGCACGGGCTCACACTGACTCAACTGACTTTACTGGCTCAGTGATGGCACGGGCTCACACTGACTCAACTGACTTTACTGACTCAGTGATGGCACGGGGCTCACACTGACTCAACTGACTTTACTGATTCAGTGATGGCACGGGCTCACACTGACTCAACTGATTGCGGGCTCAGTGATGGCACGGGCTCAGTCTGACTCAACTGACTTTACTGGCTCTGTGATGGCACGGGCTCACACTGACTCAACTGACTTTACTGGCTCAGTGATGGCACGGGGCTCACACTGACTCAACTGACTTTACGGGCTCTGTGATGGCACGGGCTCACACTGACTCAACTGACTTTGCGGGCTCAGTGATGGCAAGGGCTCACACTGACTCAACTGACTTTGCGGGCTCAGTGATGGCACGGGCTCACACTGACTCAACTGACTTTATTGGCTCTGTGATGGCACGGGCTCACACTGACTCAACTGACTGTGCGGGCTCTGTGATGGCACGGGCTCACACTGACTCAACTAACTTTGCGGGCTCAGTGATGGCACGGGCTCACACTGACTCAACTGACTTTACTGGCTCAGTGATGGCACGGGGCTCACACTGACTCAACTGACTTTACGGGCTCTGTGATGGCACGGGCTCACACTGACTCAACTGACTTTGCGGGCTCAGTGATGACAAGGGCTCACACTGACTCAACTGACTTTGCGGGCTCAGTGATGGCAAGGGCTCACACTGACTCAATTTACTTTACTGGCTCAGTGATGGCACGGGGCTCACACTGACTCAACTGACTTTACTGGCTCAGTGATGGCACGGGCTCATACTGACTCAACTGACTTTACTGGCTTAGTGATGGCACGGGCTCACACTGACTCAACTGACTTTGCGGGCGCAGTGATGGCACGGGCTCACACTGACTCAACTGACTTTGTGGGCGCAGTGATGGCACGGGCTCAAACTGACTCAACTGACTTTACTGGCTTAGTGATGGCACAGGTTCACACTGACTCAACTGACTTTACTGGCTCAGTGATGGCACGGGCTCACACTGACTCAACTGACTTTTCGGGCGCAGTGATGGCACGGGCTCACACTGACTCAACTGACTTTACTGGCTTAGTGATGGCACGGGTTCACACTGACTCAACTGACTTTACTGGCTCAGTGATGGCAAGGGCTCACACTGCCTCAAATGACTTTGCGGGCGCAGTGATGGCACGGGCTCACACCGACTCAACTGACTTTACTGGCTCAGTGATGGCACGGGCTCACACTGACTCAACTGACTTTTCGGGCGCAGTGATGGCACGGGCTCACACTGACTCAACTGACTTTACTGGCTTAGTGATGGCACGGGTTCACACTGACTCAACTGACTTTACTGGCTCAGTGATGGCAAGGGCTCACACTGCCTCAAATGACTTTGCGGGCGCAGTGATGGCACGGGCTCACACCGACTCAACTGACTTTGCGGGCTCAGTGATGGCACGGGCTCACACTGACTCAACTGACTTTGCGGGCTCTGTGATGGCACGGGCTCACACTGACTCAACTGACTTTACTGGCTCAGTGATGGCAAGGGCTTACACTGCCTCAAATTATTTTGCGGGCTCAGTGATGGCACGGGCTCACCCTGACTCAACTGACTGCGGGCTCAGTGATGGCACGGGCTCACCCTGACTCAACTGACTTTACTGGCTCAGTGATGGCACGGGCTCACACTGACTCAACTGACTTTACTGGCTCAGTGATGGCACGGGCTCACACTGACTCAACTGACTTTGCGGGCTCTGTGATGGCACGGGCTCACACTGACTCAACTGACTGCGGGCTCAGTGATGGCACGGGCTCACAGTCTCATGCAGCCAGCTATGGCTACAGGGTTTGGTGGTACATGTTGTTTGTCGTTTATTGTGAAATTTCGGTCACAGTTCCTATGATCACCGTTACATTGCATTTATGGTTTTATTTTGGTGATTTCGAAAAGTTTTTTGGTTTGGCCATGGTTGTTTGCTGTAGTACGGAGCTAAACGGATGGCTTTAATCTAAGTTGTCTTGTGGTTGTTGTTGTTGTTTGACTTGCATCTCACTGGGATATTTGCACACAGCGTTGGTGTACGGTGCTTTTTTCTGGAAGATTTTGCTGTTTTTTACTGGATTTTTCTGTTTGCGCATAGTCACTTTAAGATGTTTTCTTGTTCATGTTTGTTGCGGTTGCACCCGATTCAAGATCCGAACGGCTCACAGGACTATACCAAATAAATGAAACTGAAACTGAACTGCAGGGATTAATATTCTTGGTTCTTTCGGTAAAGTCACCACGTAGAAGGGAAATCATAAAGTAACAAAAATAAAACAATTAAATTCTCACGACTTTTCGATTTTTTTCAAAATGTTATTGCTGCGATTTTCACACCCGATGATGATTGCTTGTGTTGCAATCGAAACGTCGTGAGAATTTTTTTTTTATTATTTCCCTTCTACGTGGTGACTTTACCGAAAGAACCAAGAATATGAATCCGGAGCAGTCAACGAAAGCTTTAAAAGTTGAAATCAACATTTGACCCAAGTGACTTTGCTGGCTGTTTAACCTTGAGTGCGCCCCGACCGTGACGTCACTCGCAGCCGTCCAATCACTGCGCAGCGTGCCGCGAGCAGGAAGTGGCGGAGTTTGCTGCGGCTGAGCAATGGCTGCGTCGGCTCGGGTTGTGCAGGTGAGAGGTGGTGAGGGGTGGTGAGGGTGGTGAGGGGTGGTGAGAGGTGGTGAGAGGTGGTGAGGGGTGGTGAGGGTGGTGAGGGGTGGCTAGGGTGGTGAGGGTGGTGAGTGGCTAGGGTGGTGAGGGGTGGCTAGGGTGGTGAGGGGTGGTGAGCGTGGTGAGGGTGGTGAGGGTGGTGAGGGTGGTGAGAGGTGGTGAGGGGTGGTGAGGAGTGGCTAGGGTGGCGAGGGTGGTGAGGGGTGGTGAGGGGTGGCTAGGGTGGTGAGGGTGGTGAGTGGCTAGGGTGGTGAGGGGTTGTGAGGGTGGTGAGGGTGGTGAGGGGTGGTGAGGGTGGTGAGGGGTGGTGAGGGTGGTGAGGGTGGTGAGGGGTGGTGAGGGTGGTGAGGGGTGGTGAGGGGTGACGAGGGGTGGTGAGGGGTGGTGAGGGGTGGTGAGGGTGGTGAGGGGTGGTGAAGGGGTGGTGAGAGGTGGCTAGGGTGGTGAAGGGTGGTGAGGGTGGTGAGGGGTTGTGAGGGTGGTGAGGGGTGGTGAGGGTGGTGAGAGGTGGTGAGGGGTTGTGAGGGTGGTGAAGGGGTGGTGAGGGTGGTGAGGGGTGGAGAGGGTGGTGAGGGTGGTGAGAGGTGGTGAGGGTGGTGAAGGGGTGGTGAGAGGTGGCTAGGGTGGTGAGGGGTGGTGAGGGTGGTGAGGGTGGTGAGGGGTTGTGAGGGTGGTGAGGGGTGGTGAGGGGTGGCGAGGGTGGCGAGGGGTGGTGAGTGGCTAGGGTGGTGAGGGGTGGTGAGGGGTGGTGAGGAGTGGCGAGGGTGGTGAGGGGTGGTGGTGAGTGGCTAGGGTGGCTAGCGTGGTGAGGGGTGGCTAGGGTGGTCGGGGGTGGTGAGGGGTGGTGAGGGTGGTGAGGGGTGGCTAGGGTGGTGAGGGTGGTGAGTGGCTAGGGTGGTGAGGGGTGGCTAGGGTGGTGAGGGGTGGTGAGCGTGGTGAGGGTGGTGAGGGTGGTGAGAGGTGGTGAGGGGTGGTGAGGAGTGGCTAGGGTGGCGAGGGTGGTGAGGGGTGGTGAGGGGTGGCTAGGGTGGTGAGGGTGGTGAGTGGCTAGGGTGGTGAGGGGTGGTGAGAGGTGGTGAGAGGTGGTGAGGGGTGGTGAGGGTGGTGAGGGGTGGTGAGGGTGGTGAGAGGTGGTGAGGGTGGTGAGGGTGGTGAGGAGTGGTGAGGGGTGGCTATGGTGGTGAGGGGTGGTGAGAGGTGGTGAGGAGTGGTGAGGGGTGGTGAGGGGTGGTGAGGGTGGTGAGGGGTGGTGAGGGTGGTGAGGGGTGGTGAGGGTGGTGAGGGGTGGTGAAGGGGTGGTGAGAGGTGGCTAGGGTGGTGAAGGGTGGTGAGGGTGGTGAGGGGTTGTGAGGGTGGTGAGGGTGGTGAGAGGTGGTGAGGGATGGTGGGGGTGGTGAGGGGTGGTGAGGGGTGGTGAGGGTGGTGAGGGGTGGTGAGGGGTGGTGAGGGTGGTGAGAGGTGGTGAGGGTGGTGAAGGGTGGTGAGGGGTGGTGAGGGTGGTGAGGGTGGTGAGGGGTGGCGAGGGTGGCGAGGAGTGGTGAGGGTGGCTAGGGTGGTGGGGGTGGTGAGGGGTTGTGAGGGGTTGCTAGGGTGGTGAGGGTGGTGAGAGGTGGTGAGGGGTGGTGAGGGTGGTGAGGGTGGCTACGGTGGCGAGGGTGGTGAGGGGTGGTGAGGGGTGGTGAGGGTGGTGAGAGGTGGTGAGGGGTGGTGAGGGTGGCTAGGGTGGCGAGGGTGGTGAGGGGTGGTGAGGGTGGTGAGGGTGGCTAGGGTGGTGAAGGGTGGTGAGGGTGGTGAGGGTGGTGAGGGGTGGCTAGGGTGGCGAGGGGTGGTGAGGGTGGTGAGGGTGGTGAGGGGTGGCGAGGGGTGGCGAGGGTGGCGAGGGGGGTGGCTAGGGTGGTGAGGGTGGTGAGGGGTGGCGAGGGTGGTGAGGGGTGGTGAGGGGTGGTGAGGGTGGTGAGGGGTGGTGAGGGTGGTGAGGGTGGTGAGGGGTGGTGAGGGTGGTTAGGGGTGGCGAGGGTGGTGTGGGGTGGTGAGGGTGGTGAGGAGTGGTGAGAGGTGGTGAGGGGTGGCTAGAGTGGTGAGGGTGGTGAGGGGTGGTGAGGGTGGTGAGGGGTGGCCAGGGTCGTGAGGGGTGGTGAGTGTTGGTGAGAGATGGTGAGAGACGGTGAGGGGAGGTAACTGGTGGTAAGGGATGGTGACGGTCTTCAGGGGTGGTGAGTGTTGGTGAGAGATGGTGAGAGATGCTGGGGGGTGGTGATATGTGACGAGAATGTGTGTCTCTATTCCATTTCCTACGGCAATATGTTCACGTGCTAAATTTCAATGTCACAAGGTCTGCTAACTGCAACGAGGGGAGATAATGCGTGTAATTTGCTCTCCAGACATGTAGCGATTTTACTTTTCGGTCAATCGCGAGGGGCGATGATGGGTTACTGGGACTTGCGGATGCACTGCGTGACGCGTCAGAAGAGATGGAGTGATGTGGTACAGGAGGACGTGGAGCTGAGTGGACTTGCCGATGACTGGTACCAGCGGTGTCAAGATCGGCCTCTGTGGAGGAGGAGGCTCGTGAAGGACGCTACTGGGCAGTTGGAGGCAGTCGCCCTCCAACAACAACGGAGGGCGGAGGAGCGACGCTCACAACAACGAGCGGAGCGCCGGGTGGCTAAAGCACAGCAAGTTGGCACAGTAGGGGGTACAGGTGGTGCATCAGCCAGTCGTTTCAGTCATCTCAGTCAGTCGACCCGTGGCACCTGGGTCTGCCCCCATGACCTCTTGCCAGCGGGCGTTCGACACCTCACGTGGCCTCAAGGTGCACATGGCCTGGCACAAGCGTCGTGGTGACGTCACCGCCACTTAGTGGCGAATGGCGGTTGTTGTTGGGGGTTACATTGAGGTATGTTGTGCCCACACTGCTGCCCGTTGTCGTGGCGCTCCGCCTCTGCGTTATCGCTCCCGTGCCCGCCGCTCGTGGGAGCCGAGACAAACTTCACTTGCGACAACACCAACCAGCGCTCAAAGATTGTCGGGGCCTTGGAAGTTTGCGTCGGTGATGTCGGCTGTGTCGAGATAAGAGTGGGCAAGGCGCGGTGCAGCGAGCAGCAGCCTTTTGTAACATCGTGAACAATTGTGCTGTCATTGTAAATCCATTAGCTCTGGTTTTTGATGAACGTTTGGGAACTTTTTTTTTTCTCCCTCCGCGGTAGTTACGCATATCGGCAATGCACCGCGTGGTGGCAATTTGCAGGTTTCATCACACTCGGGGAGAGAAGTACCTGCGTGGGCTTTGTGACAGGCGTGCAGAGGAACGGGCGCCTGTTAGTTCGTGTTAGCGCCGCCGGGGACTGTGCGTGAAGATTGCACAATCGCTGAGAATCATCACTGCCTGGCCCGTAAAATTTTGACTTAAAGCTTTCGTGACTGCAGGGATTCATATTCTTGGTTCTTTCGGTAAAGTCACCACGTAGAAGGGAAACAGTAAAAATATAAAACAATAAAATTCTCACGACGTTTCGACTGCAACACAAGCAATCATCATCAGGTGTGAAAACCACAGCAAGAAAATTAGAATTAAAAAAATTCTTGCTGTGGTTTTCACACCTGATGATGATTGCTTGTGTTGCAGTCGAAACGTCGTGAGAATGTTATTGTTTTATATTTTTATTATTTTATTGCCTGGCCCATGTTAGATTCCAGGGCATCAGGAGACACTCTGGGAGGTTCCGTAACTTCATGGAATGTCGGCATAGTTTATTGATCTTGGGCAGGGGTGGGGAACGTCCGACACTCTGGGGAGGTTACCAAGGCAACCGCAGGCGGGACTCGAAATTCAATAAATCTAGGAGCAAACCTGGAAAAGCAGTTGCGAATAGCAACATCGTCAATACCAGCTAACATCATCAAATGCTTCGCCAGAGAGAAGCAGTTCCAGCCCATCGCATTAGGGGTGAGTTAATGAAATGTTTGACCAAATATAACAGGCTAATTTTTAAGTTGATTATTTTGTATGGCCCGTGAATGATGTTATTTAAATATCCAAATGGCCCTTGGCAGAAAAAAGGTTCCCCACCCCTGATCTAGGGGGGCTGGCCTGTACATTTTCAAGACCTCGGATTGCTGCAAAGTGTGGTGCGTATACCTCCCAAGTTGTAACCAGTGAATTCTGGGGTGAGGCAGGGGTTGTTTCCTCGTCCGTAAATTGTCATATACTTACATAGACCGAGTGCCTAGTTGGTTTGCTTAATTACAGTGGGTAGTGTTATCGGTGTTTTAAGCAACGCTTTTTCAAGGTTCTATCTTGCTTCCCGTATTCTGATAAGTAGACGCTTAGGGGAACATGACTGATCACCGTTAGCAGAATCTCAGGCTACCAATGTGATGACTTTCTATCCATAGGTTACAGCAGTAGGCTTAGGTGAGGCTTGCTATCCGCGTGCTACAATATTCCAACGATGGTACTTTGTTTATGTGGTTTGCTTCACCTCGGTGACCTTGTCTACCAACCGGGTTCTCTGTGCTCGAGTATTCCTGGATGGTGGAGGAGGTTGAGGGGTCAGCCACATGCCTCATGGCTGCATCGGATTGGCAATTGTTGTTGAGACTTGGGGATAGGAACGGATGCTAGGTCAGAAGGTGCTGTCTTGAGGAAGAGTGATCAATCACACGAGGAATCTTGTGAGGCGAGTGACTGGAGATGCACCGAGCGAGATGCTGCAGGTGGGCATCGTGCAGCAAATGGGTGGTGTGGGAAAATCGGAGACGGCACAGATATGTATTTAGCAACAAGCAGAGACACGGAACAGAGATGTATGGATGGAGAGAAGTATACGGAGATACCACAGGAAGCTGTATTGAGTCAGGGAAGGAGAGAGACACATGGCATGGGGATGTATTGAGATAAGCAATAATATTTCAAAATACTTTTTTTTAAAACACGCTTCAATGAAATGTACCGTACGAATAATGGCAGAACTCCACGACTCCAGGAAGTGTCCCCGAAGCTTGCCACAACGTAAGGGGCCGTGGTGATTTACAGCCAACGTGAGTTGAGCGTGGACAATTAGACCCAAGCCGAAACATAAGATATAAAAAATATATTTTTTTTATAGAATATAGTATTGTCATCAGTATGACATAAGTATACCGAGTTTGCAGTCGATAACACATTGGGAAGTGGGTAAAAATTGAGTTACAAGATTTGAGGATATGACAACAGACAGAGTTGAGGATACAACAGACAGAGTGAGTTAAATAAAAGCGTGTAAATAATAATAGTAAAAACAGTACAAGATAGGTTTGGAGTGAAGAGAGAAGCTTTGAAGATGCAGTGTCAGAGAGGGAGCGAGACAGAGGAAAGAGCATGAGTATAAGAAATAACCTTTGTGTGACCAGAAATAGCGTTTGCCGATGCAAATTGTTGCTATATTATCTTATTTTTCATTTGTTGAACGCCTTAGCTCAACGCGCTTTGCATAGTTTAATAGCGGTAAAAATATAGAGTGATTTAGATGGCAAGGGCGTGCAAGGGCCGAGGAATGAGTGACGGTAACAGAGGGCACCATCGGGTCATGAAATGGCAAGAGAGTGCCAATTACAACTTCAGAAACATTTATTTATATCAGGGGCACCAATTGTGGTGTGATGTTATTTTTCTTGCCTGGTATGCAGGAGGGTCGGGGGTTTGGTCCCGACCATGATGCCCGCATATTTGGAGTTTGCATGTTCTCACTTGTGGTTGCGTTGATTTTTTTTCTCCAGGTCCTCCGTTTTTTTCCTCCAACATTTAAAAAACATGCATTGAGATTATTTTGATTATGTTGCTTCTCTAAATTTCCATACCATCAGCCACTTTGTTGAGCTATCATTTGTGGCCAGATTGCTTATGAAAAAGAAGTGAATATCTCAGTGCGCTTTGCCTGGTAGGGTGGGGATGGTTTAGTTGTGTTTGTGTGTTTTCGGGCAATTTGTTTTGCCTTTCCTTACTTTGCACTCCTATCGTGAGTTTGTACTGTTGGTTTTAACGTTCATACCCAGCCCTACCGGACGTCTGTGGAATCGGATTCTTCCAGCATAAATAAGTATTCTGATTCAGATGAGCGATAGTAAGTAATGATTTTTTTAATGCAAATTCGTGATCCGCAAGAAATTGAGTGATGAGAGAAAGGTAAAGAGAATGAGCCTGGGCCGAGGGATAAGCTTCAGTTTTCCAGATTTTCTGCAGAATATTATGGGGCTACAGTATTTTAAATATATGTGATGTTTTCACTTTTCCACAGTTGGTCAAACCGCGTATTCCACTGATCAAGTTTCATAGCAGAAATCCTCCCAAAGTTTCTAATGGTAAGTTTTAAATTTTTATTTGCTCCTTTTTCTAATTACAAGGCCAAGTGAAGGTAAAAAAAAAATGTTTCAGTCTTAACATCCATCTTCGTTTATTTGCATGAAACTTAGGAAACTGCCAATGGGTAGCCATATTTCGGTGGCTGAATTTTATTGAAATGTGTTGTTGCTCTGGAGATCGGCCGATTGATGATCAATTTTCGGTCGCCGCGTTGATAGCATTAGTTGTGATTTCTCGCTTAACAAAGTGGGCCGCATGAAGGCTGCCATCTTACACTCCAATTTTGGAATAAAAACCTATATTAAAATAAGCATTTACAGGTTCTAGATTTGAAGCTTTCGTGGCTGCAAGGATTCATACTCTTTGGTTTTATTCGGTAAAGTCACGTAGATGAAATTAAACAAAATAAAACAATTATATCACGACGTTTCGGAGAAGGAAGCTTGTGTTGCCTCCGAAACATCGTGATTTAATTGTTTTATTTTGTTTTATTTTATCTACGTGACTTTACCGAATAAAACCAAAGAGTACATTTACGGGTTATTTGCCTTTTTCACTTTTACGATGTCTGCACAAAATCTATGAATTGGTTTCCCTTAAACCTATACTAAATTGTAGATTGTCAAGACATCATTACTGCTACTGTAGTAAAGGTGACCTTTATCATTGTCCATTCTTGTATAAAGTCAGTACAGTAAAACCTTGGATTGCGAGCATAATTCGTTCCGGAAACGTGTTTGTAATCCAAAGCACTCGTATATCAAAGCACTCGTATATCAGTTGTGATCACGTGACGCTCGACAGACAAAGCATATACGTACTACTACTCGTATTGCAAGAGCTCGCTCGTTTATCAAATTAATATTTACTTAAAATTTTTGCTCGTCTTGCAAAACACTCGCAGACCAAGTTACTCACAATCGAAGGTTTTACTGTATTTCAAAACACCTTTTTTCTCCCATTTAACAATGAGCAAGATTAACCAATTGTGCTTACACCTAAAACAAAGTAAACAAGTGTTAGCAGAATATTTTTAATGGTGTCGATACAATATATAAAAAAATGTATGGTATGACACTAATCACAATATCAGTTTCTCATGAGATTGTATATTACAATTTGATTGTTTTGTTTTTGTGATTTGCTGTACAAATATCTTCATCTCATCTGCAGTCAGTCAACATAAGCCTGTCGTAAAAATATTAATACAAATTTACAACCTGGAATAATGAGAAAAGGTTTTCCCCTTTTTTCTGGCAACAAAACAGGTGTGAAGATGTGAAAACACCCAAACTGAAACCTTTTTACAAGGAATCATGTGTGCATTAACCACAGTGCTTGTGGTCAGAATGCAAACAAAAACCACACTGACAATATGATGCATTGTCCTTGAATCTGATTGGTCCACACCAGAGACAGCTTTCTTCGAAGCCTCGACGAGGAGAAAACCTATTCTCATATTTTGGTACTGGCAAAATGAGGTCCCATGATGTAGCTGCTCAACCGATAATAATTATAATGTACATACTGTCAGTTACACGTAAAATCATCGAATAAATAAAAATGCGCAATGGCATAAATTATTTTGGACAACATTATTCATAGCACTCATTTATTGGGCAATAGGTATTTTAGTTAGAACTTACATTGTTGTGCTTTTGTTATTTAAGACTTATTTTGTTACACATTTAATGTAAACGGAATTATATGAGCTAATATATGTATGATATGATATTGTTGTAAAACAGATGAGCAGGAGATGGAAGTTATGGAGTTAAGGGGTTAACTGGAATTCGTTTTGACCTCGATTTGTCTGTGTTGAAGTCAGGGGCGGAGCCAGGATTTTGACTTTGGGGGGGTGCTGACTTCAATATTCTGAGATATCCAGTGTAATTTTCGATTTAAAGCTTTCGTGACTGCAAGGATTCATCTTCTTTGGTTCTTTCGGTAAAGTCACGTAGAATGAGAATAAAATAATAAATTGATAAAATAAAATAACACAATAATATTCTCACGACGTTTCGGCCACAACACAAGCGGCCTTCATCAGGTGAAGGGACGACAGTCTCAGGTGAAGGGACGACGGCTGAGCCCCCCCCCCCGCCCCCCCTGTGGCTCCGCCCCTGGTTGAAGTGCAACATGTTAGATGCGTATGCATGCAATATGTATTTTTTTGTATATTCGTGTGTGTACAATTATACGTGTGTGTGTGTGTGTAGCAATGAGTGCATCCTACACGTACTTGGTAATCTCCGCTATGGAGTTCCTTGCATATCAGGATACGATTTCCATGAGATATTTAGTAGTCATACAAGTTGTTTCTCATCTATGGGACAGTTTTTTTTTGCCAGATTCATAATGATGAATGCATACATTATCAAAGCACTTTTATTTGCATGTTTTACCACAAGCATGTGTAGTTTATGCAGACTTGATGCTGTGTAATAGGGTGTCTATGTGGTGTTTGGACATCTTAACACCTCCTGTATTACTACCGATATTTCAATGTTTACCCATTGAACTTGTCCTAGTGGTGTGCTACTTAATTACTCTCCTTCAACACTGTTACCTTGCTTTTCTGTACTTTTTATTGGATTAAATTCCCTTTTGCGCTGCATTCCAAATTTAAAGACTTGGCAATCTTATTTTCAAACTTTGAAGCTCAGCCACCCACTTGAGGAAACATTTTAAAATGACATTGCCAATTGTGATAGTTACGACGTACATTTTGTTTATGCCCACAAAATGTTTTCCCCATGATGATCAAAACTCTTGGTCATTTGACCCCACCACAACCTCTTGCGATAGGTTATAATGACTATTTTAGAGACAAATATGATGCAGCTAAGACTTTCTTTATTTACTGCTCATTCAGTGGTGTTTCCCGTCTATTTATATGCGTGCACTTTAAAGTAAATGCATTATTTATACGCTTGCTTTGTTTTTATAGCTCAGGAATTGGGAAAGACTGCCATCAATCTGGTAGGCACAGCAGGCTCGATGCCGGTGAAGAGTCTGCCAATGGAGACGCTAGACCCGTTGCCTCCACGTTTCCGGCGTAAGGCCCTCGACACGATTGAAATGGAATACATACAGGTGGGTGTAACACATTACAATTATCAACAGCAAAGCATTTTGAGGTTATTATTTTGCCGTTTCATCGTTCCCAGTTGTAAACACTGCAACGTGATATTTCAGCATTATTTTAAGTGTTATTTTCAATGTTTGTGCAGTATAATTTCGCTTGTTTTTCTCAATAACCCTTTTCTTCCCTTTCCACAGCGAGGCGGTCCAGATTGAGAGACATGCACTCACCATTACTTGGTGGTTGCTGAAGATTAAAAGAGAATACTGAAATGGATCACCACATCCAGCACATGCTGCTTAGACTTGTGGCAAGAGCCAAAGTCATACATACAACTTGTGCATAACTTACAAACACGAAGTGTACTGTTATACAAGACACAGTCTTATGTCACCTGAGTCTAAGCATATGCACCAATATATCTCCTATTAAATTATTATATTACTCAGAATTGCATTTTGTGGGAACTGATATTTTTGTTTTGGGTTTCAGTGACATGGCCATTTTTATTTGGTCTGATTGTTAATTATCAAACTGCTATGGGCCCCATTTTACCGTATTAACACAAATGTATTTTCCTGCATTACCTAATAAAGTTATTATATAAAGGTAGGTCCTCTTTTTGCCATTTACTATGAAGTAGAACTTTATTTGTAAATTTCCTCAGTTTTATTTATAGTAATTATTTATTTTTTACATTTTAATAATAGTGTTATAAAAGTTATACAGGGTGTTTAAAATATATGGACCCAATTTCAAAGCAGTATGTTTCACGATGGCAACATGTTACAATTACACAAAAAGTTCCAAACGTTTAATCGGTTATCAAGTTTTAACAACCATTTTATAAATGCTCTCTGTGCCCTCCACCTGCTGTACGGACAACATCGAGGCGATAGTTGAATTCGTCCCAAACGCCTCTCAAAGTGTCTTCTTCCACTGAAGTCACCGCTGACGTGATTCTGTTTTTGAGGTCATCCAGATTAGTCGCTAATGGTGGCACAAAAACACGGTCTTTGACGTATCCCCACAAGAAAAAGTCACAGGGTGTGGTGATGTCTGGGGGTGATCTTGGGGGCCAAAGAGTGGAGCGCCAAGTCTTGGGGTCCCGTGCGACCTATCCAACGTTGAGGCAGTGTTGTCTTGCGAATGACTGAGGCTAGGGGCTGTTTGTGCGCTGGGAGAGGCATCGAGCGGTTATCATTTGAAACTCTGTGCCCCGCCCTCTCTATGCCCCGCCCTCTCTGTGCCCCACCCTTTCAAGTGGTAAGAGTTTTATTCATGGGCGGTTTGTGGTTGCAGAGATATAGCGATTTCAAATCGAGTCCATCTTTTTCAAACGCCCTGTATAATACAGGGCGGTTAATGAGTGACAAAGGTTCAGTGAAAATTGCTCGTTAATCAAACATTTATTAAAGGTAGAAATAAGAAATAATGAAATTACATAATAGCATACGACGTTTCGATTGCAACACAAGCAATCATCATCAGGTACAGAAGAGCTAAATTTAAGAGAGAGGAAACACATAACCGCAGATATATACACAGACACCCAAGTAAAGGGTATTAACACATACACCAGGGGATACAGAGAGACGGAGGAGCACACTAAATCAAACAGGGTTTAGCAAAATTTGGAAACCATATAAAGCAACACAGACGGTCGGTCAAAACACAATTAACGCATGTGCTGGTTGATTACGCTTTTTCAAAGACTGCTAAATTACAAGTTAAGTGTGAAATTTAAGAGAGTGATAGAATACAGACGGCATACACATTAATAGACATCCAAGCAGAACGAGTTAGCACAGAGATACGTGGGGAGAGACATGCACACGGTGAAGCAGCATCTCTGTGTCGAGGCCTTAAATAGACAGAGACGGCGGGGCTGGGACTGAGAGGCAATGGGACACAAATTAGCATGAAGAGAGTATACATCAAAGGACGGCGCGGGTGGATGACACAAGTTATATTCTTAGTTCTTTCGGTAAAGTCACGTTGAAGGAAAACAACAAAATAATAAAATATATATAAAACAATAAAAATTCTCACGACGTTTCGACCATAACACAAACGGTCGTCTTCAGGTGTGTCGGTTTGCATAAATTTATTTTTAAACGGTGTATTTATTTATAAAACAAAAACGTTAGCGCCACGTGCAGCGATTGGCAGTTTACTTAGAAGGACTAGTCCATCTATGTTCTGAAAAGAGGAGGGGGGAGACGATTTTTTTTTTAATGTATGCTGTCTGAAAGCCACTGTAAGCGTGAACAATCAGTTAAGACCTGAAATGGTTTATCAAATCTTTCCAATGATTGCTAAGCCAGAATCCATCTTCTCGGTTGAAATTGTTTTATATATTTTATTATTTTGTTGTTTCCCCTTCAACGTGACTTTACCGAAAGAACTAAGAATATGAATTACTGCAGTCACGAAAGCTTTAAATCAAAATGACACAAGTTGTCAAGCACATGGGGGCTGCGGAGGAAGCAGCGGCACACACTCTGAGACAACCAAGGCACACACACAGGCAGAGACAGCACAGTGACACAAACCCAAGCCAAGACACAAAGCTAGACACACCAGCAGAGACAACACAAAGAGACAGACTTCATAGCTCCCCGTAGAGGTGGTTCAAACTTGATTTGACGCTTTTGTCACTGCAGAGTAATTCCTGCAGTGAAAATTGCTCGTTAATCAAACATTTATTAAACGGTCATCGTTTTCCCATTGACTCCCATGTTCAAAGCGGAGTTACTTTTCAGCCCCCAAATTTTCCCTCCTTAAATTTTTCTTTAGTTTGAGAAATCCAAATTATACTGGTAGGAACGAAGTTGTAAACTGAGTGTACCAGCCTGCAATAGATTAATGTGTCCGTCCGTCCGTCCCCTTTCAATACTTTAACGAAGTGAAATCTCGTGCTGTTGGGTGTAAAATCAGCAATAGACAGCGCATAGACTTGATATGTCTTATTGCACCCAACATTTGGAAGTCACATGATCTCATTTGCGAACTTCTACCAGCCCACCCTGCAGGGACGTGTTATTTAAAAATAAAATAATAAACACATCAAATGTACCGCTCACCACACATGAAGAGCCACGGCTTGCAGGTGCCAGACCTCCAGTGTCTCTTAATTAGCGCCGTCACCCCCCCCTACCCACGTTCAACGCGACACCCATGCACTCATTGCACACAAAGTGCGTGCCACAAATGAACCCACAACACCTTGCTGATCTCGGCAAGGAGTATAAAGCATCACGTGAACTACGGTCATCCTCGCAGCGGCTTTTTGGCTCGCCATCGAACAAAGATAGCTACTGCATTACACTCTTTCAGATGAGTCTCTGCGGCCGTCTGGAACGCTCTTCCGATGTTAGGAAGCTACTGCAGCTATGCACTTTTAAATCTAGGTTGAAAACATTTCTTTAGAACTGCTTTTTGTGTTGGTTTTTTTGTCCTTCCCCCGCACCTCTGATTAACATGGTTGGTTACGTACGGTGCGAAAGAAGTTGAACATATTCACATACACGACGCCCACGAATTCAACACGATGCCTACGCATTCAGTGCGACACCCACGAATTCAACACGTCGACGAATTCAACGCGACGTCCACACGCGTTCAACACGCCGCCCACACATGCACTTGCTAATTGGGTAGCTGTGAAATTTGTAGATCCCTCACTGACCACTTCTGACCTTAGGTCATGGGGGTGACGTCTAACGCAGAATGGCAATGCTGCGTGTAAACAATTGTTTGGTAGGTCTGCTGCAAGCACAATTAACAAAACACAATTGTGAAAACCACTGCCTTTAAATAAAATATATACAATTAGGCAACGTTTTGAGCACCGTCTCAACAGATAGTACAGCCAGCCCTTCACAGGGAGTGGCTACTTCCTTGCAATATTTCAGGCATTGTGACCTTACCTTGCTACATGATATTCTTGGTTCTTTCGCTAAAGTCACGTAGAAGGGAAATAACATGATAAAAATATAAAACAATAAAATTCTCACGACGTTTTCGACCGCAACACAAGCAATCATAATCACACCTGATGATGATTGCTTGTGTTGCGGTCGAAAACGTCGTGAGAATTTTATTGTTTTATATTTTTTTATTTTATTGTTTCCCTTCTAGGTGACTTTACCGAAAGAACCAAGAATATGCATCCCTGCAGTCACGAAAACTTTAAATCAAAATTTGCTCCATGATGTTATTTAAGCTGAGGGGCTTCCCGTCCCCAAGGATCTCAGAATCGCTCAGAAAATCTGCAGAACCTATTCTTGGGGGGGGGGGGCTATAGATCCAACCGAAATTTGTTTCCTGAAAGATAATAGGTGTGGTGTTGCAATAAAAAATTATAGAATGAAAGATTCATGATAGCACGCAGCTGATGCATTTTCCATCTCGGCAACGCACGACCACCGCTCATCCTTAAAGTGCTGAGAGGCACTCTAAACCTCCGAGCAAAGGCTGCGGTAAGCCACCTCTCGGACGTGTAATGTCGACGGTGGGGCCTGACGCTCTCTTTCAGCTAGCTGGGAACACGTCCGTCAGCCAGGATATCTGGTAATATCTGGACTGTGTACCCAATGCAATAATTGCAGCTGCATGAGCCACAGTCCTAAACCTCATCCATTTTCTCTTAGCATAAGGAGAAAAGGGGGGGGGGGATGATGCCAAAATTCGCATTTCGTGATGAAATGCGAATTTCATCAGCTGAGACGAGGCCTTTGTTGGCTTGAATGGAGTGGGTGGAAGCCTAGCAGGTACATCTTACATATGACAAGTGGATCCTGGTGTCAAGAACATGTGCCAAGAACACGTGTCAAGAACATGTGCCCGTTTTCGCTGTTCTGTCTCGATATAGTCCCGCAGATGCTCTTTCCTTGGACCCAGCGTGCATCCATAATGCGCCGATGCTAGAATAGTGTGTTCGCGATGACAGGCTCATGAGCTGCACAGAAGTTTATCAGCCCCCTACCATTGTTATTGAGCTGATCTGGCCCATGCATTCCAATGACTTTGGGCCCAGGTTCCTGCGTTATTGACCCACTTTGGCATTAAAATCACCCACCAAAATGGCTCTATCCCTATGGGTCAATTTATCCAGCACCTGGGACGGGATGTAATAGAAGGTACAACTGCGATTGTGCCAGGCTAGGTGCACTTTGAAGGCCACATGACGTGTCAAATGACGAAATGTGCAGTGGACACCTACGGGCTATACCTGGCCATGGATCGTGATAATGAAGTGTCAAATGCTGGGAGGTGCATCGACTTGCTGAAGTTTAGCGACCCAGCGCTTTGTTCATTGCTGTGAAGATCAATGCCGTCCACTGTTGTAATGCGACTAGCCTCCACCTGCCGAGTCGTGTCACGTGTACACAATTTGATACAATTGCTCTCCCCTATAACAATAATGCACCGTTATAAATGCACACAGACACATACGATACACATAGACACTGTCACATTCGCGTAAAAACTTTCCTACACAAAGTAACACTCGGCAAGTACAGGCGTGTCTCGCCTAACGAGCGACAATACCTTCCGCGGAAAATTGCTCGGCAAGTGAAAACTTGTTCAACGATCATCGTTTTCCA